GTGGCTCTTCTGAAAGGAGAATCTGGGTGTGTTGTTCTGCCAACTGACAAGATGATGCCAGAAGTAACCAGTCATTCATATAATGGTGTGCACAGGCCAAAAGCATGAAAGTAACAAGAAAAACTAACTCTGCAGAAGACATATGTTGCAGATGCTAGGCCAAAAGACACAGCCCTGAACTGCACAACTTGACCCTTCTGCACAAAACGTAGACAGCGGTGAGATGACTTCGCTATGGGAATGTGGAGATATGCATTGGCAACATCAAACTTGGTCATCCACAAACCTGATGAAAAATGCCAACATATGTTGAGAAAGGACTCTATTGTGAACCTGGTAGGATCTAAGAACTGGTTGAGATGATTAAGCTCGATGATCGGCCGCTAATCTTCCATCTTCTTGGGCACAAAAAATAAATGGGAAAAAATCCCAGAAGAACAGGATCGACTCTCTCTACCACTCTCTTGACTAATTATTCTCTGATAGCCTTTTAACAAAGATCCACACTCTGTGGATCTGTTTGGGGTAGAAATATCACTGGTTTGGAGGATAATGGAGGTGGAGTAGTAAACTGAATGACCAACCCCGACACCAGAACTTGAAGTACCCGTGGATCTGCGGTGAAGGAATTCCAGGTGTCCAGAAAATGTTGTAACCTCGTTTCCACAGACCCCACCTGCATAGGGTAGTTACCGACATCGTTAGCAATGTTCTGCCTGGGTGGAGAAGCCTCAAAAATAAAGACAGAATCTATTCCGAGTACTAGCAGATCAAAGAGCAGAAGCCAGGGGTCAGAACACATGATGAGTAGTTGCACCCTGATGTCCAGAAGGAGTCAAAGAAAGTCTAGAAGCCAATGACAAAAAGGAAGAATGTAAACAGGTGACATCTATTGGTAATTTCAATGTCTCTGCAACACCCGTGAACATAAAAGGATGAAGAAAAGTAGTCTCACATAATTCATGGAAGGCTACAGCAGGTAGACGAAACTCCCTCCAACAATGCATCTCTACCCAATAAATCCCAACAACATACAAACCAAGAAACCAAAGAAAGAGCAGAAGCTGACAATCTTACCAAGGTAGAAGTCAGCAAAAGATCCAATTCGTCTTCAAATTGATTTGGGGAATGCTTATAGGCTTCTGATAAAATTTGGAGGGAAGACAAATATCTCAGAACAGTAGTGAGGGTCAAACAAACAGTGGTTGTAAGGTGAATAGTGGCTACAAGGTCAATAGTGGTTAGTTACAAAATAAAAGTGGTTAGAAAGTCAACAACAATTAGTTACAAGGTTCTATCCTTTACAAAATCAAGTCTTACAAAAAAAAACAACAAAAAACAAGTTATTGAAACAGTTAGTTATACGTACAAATGTTGCCTGAAAATAAACATATATAAATTATAAATTCTACAAAATAAAATTCCCTAGTTTGTTTATTAGTATAAGTAAATTCCACTTACTGCCCACCTCTTGTGATCCTGTACTTTTTCAGCTAGGTATTTATTATAGATTTCTTCAGCTCTCACCAAATATTGGTTGATTTTTCTTCTGACCGCATCTCTTCTTTCCGTGTTCTTGTCGGCTAGAAGATCCAAAGTACAGAAGTTACTAATCAAAACAAGTAATATGTCAAAAAAGAAACATTTTCATGAGACTGTTCATTGTAAAGATTTCATTATGAAGAAAGATACATGAATTTTCAGTTTAATTATGTTTCTACTTACATTACCATAACGTTACTTGCGTAACATAAACCTAAGTATTCCACCTTACACACAGTCAATTGTTTTCCACGTCGTGCAATTGTTGACTCAGTGTAAACTGCATAATTAGGATGGCCAATAGAGAATATTACTTTATTTATCCCAGTTGTACATACACTTGTATACTACAACACAAACCTAAGATTTTAAGTATTTACACTTATTATGTTATTCAACTCCTCCAAAAGTCATGTTGGTCAATCATTTACAAGTGTAAACATTGACTCTGTATGGATCACATAACTAACACAAGTTAACAACTCTCTCTGTCCTAACCTTAGATGCTCCAATGCTAGTTTTAACTACAGATACTTAAAACTTTATATCTAACATTATTCAAAATTGTATGTTAACTTTTCTTAGATTATTTTTCTGCTTTTAAGAACTGGTTACTTTGCTTTGTTCCCTTTATACCCCTTCCTATTCAAGTGTGGTCAATGGGCAGGATTTCTTTAGTAAGACCATCCTCAAAGCTATGGTGAATTGAGACAAGTAGAACTACACCAGATCTATTGGTCTGTTATAATCTAGCTGGAACTTGCCACATACTAAATACACCAGATCTATTGGTCTGTTATAATCTAGCTGGAACTTGCCACATACTAAATACACCAGATCTATTGGTCTGTTGTCATCTAGCTGGAATTGCCACATACTAAATACACCAGATCTATTGGTCTGTTGTCATCTAGCTGGAACTTGCCACATACTAAATATGATGCAAGTTTGTATGTGTTCCTGTAATTCACAGTATAAAATTGAAGTAATGTATTTTAGCTATTTACAGTAACAGCTAAATTAATATATAAAATTTAATTTCTTAAATAGTAATAACTACACTGGTCAAATGTGATAGCTTTACACGTGATGATTATTCTTTGGTGCTTGGTGATATTGCTAAGTAGGCCTAACCTTATCAGGTGTGACTGGGTTAAGGGCTGAAAACACTGCAAGTGTATCCAACTGATGACCTAGGACAGAGTGGTCATATAATATTTTTGTAGTTTTTCTGTTACTTATAACTAAGAACATTTATTATTTGTTGTAATTATTACTGTAGGATTTTGTCAGCTCTTCTGGTAGAAGTTACTACATAATTCAACAGTATGCTTATTGTTTCAATTTTACAGGATATCCACTCTTCAACAGTGTTCATTGTTACATTTAAAGAATCCATTTAAAGAATCCATTCTTTAGAAATATGCTTACTATTACCATCTTACAGGTTATCCACTCTTCAACAGTGTTTATTGTTAGAATGATAAAGAACATCCATTGTTCAACAATGTTTATACACATGTTCTAGCTAATGACAATATCTTTTCAACTGAATCCTTTCAGTACCAGATTAGTCAATGTAATTAATGAAAGAGCCAGAATAATCGTGTACCATTCATCCAGACTCATCACAGTGTAATTGTGTACCATTCATCAAGACTCGTCATAGTGTAATTATGTACCATTCATCAAGACTCGTCACAGTTTAATCGTGTACCATTCATCAAGACTTGTCACAGTGTAATTATGTACCATTCATCAAGACTTGTCACAGTGTAATTATGTACCATTCATCAAGACTCGTCACCGTGTAATTATGTACCATTCATCAAGACTCGTCACCGTGTAATTATGTACCAATCATCAAGACTTGTCACTGTGTAATTATGTACCATTCATCAAGACTCGTCACCATGTAATTAGGTACCATTCATCAAGACTCGTCACCATGTAATTATGTACCATTGATCAAGACTTGTCACCGTGTAATTATGTACCATTCATCAAGACTTGTCACCGTGTAATTATGTACCATTCATCAAGACTCATCACAGTTTAATTGTGTACCATTCATCAAGACTCGTCACCGTGTAATTATGTACCATTCATCAAGACTTGTCACCATGTAATTATGTACCAATCATCAAGACTTGTCACCGTGTAATTATGTACCATTCATCAAGACTTGTCACTGTGTAATTATGTACCATTCATCAAGACTTGTCACTGTGTAATTATGTACCATTCATCAAGACTTGTCA